AGGAATTTTAGGCATAATATGATTTGAAAGATATGATGATATGTGCTTAAGTGTGAGTTGTAAATAAGTTATGGTGTAAGATGAATTCTGATATTTGATGAGTTTTTAATTCAGATGGAGTGGTGAGATTTATTATATAAACTAGCGGATGTACCCGGCTTCGCCCGGGTTTTACCCAAGTAAAGGTTTGTCTAACGAACATTTGTTAAAACATTGCTCTATAAACTTAAAAAAACAGAAATATATATATTTTGATAATTTGAAACTCGTAAATTTGAATCTCTCGATAAAGTGAACATTTTTTCCCGGTCCCTTGAAAAATGCTCGATAATAAAATCAATATTAATTGGTTCCCTCGGTAATTGGTAAGGTTAAAGGAATAGTATCTTGCCTTGGAATTGTATCATTATTCTTGTCTCAAATAAATTTGCCGTGTCATCCTGAATTTTGTCTTTCTAATTTTCTACATTCCAAATCATCGTTTTATCTAGTGAACATTTTTTCCCGGTCCCTTGAAAAATACTCGATAAGTTGAATAAAATCAATATTAATTGGTTCCCTCGGTAATTGGAAGTTAAAGGAATAGTAATCCTTGCCTTGGAATTGTATCATTATTCTTGTCTCAAATAAATTGCCGCGATATCCTGAATTTTGTCTTTCCTAATTTTCTACATTACAAAATCATCATTTTATCTATTCTCCCAATATATATGTTGTAGATAAATGTTTAAAACTAACTTTGACTTTTGCGCAATTAATAGGTAGAAAATCTTACTTTTGATAAATAATCTTTAAGATAATAAACTTAGTGATAAGAAAGTTAATAGATAAAAAAACTTGTTATCATCGTCGCAATGGGAGGGCTGCTTTCGAGGTTAAATCTACAAATCTGCAAATAACTCTAAGGATATTCAAGATATTCAAAAAAAAAATATTTTTCAAACACCTTCCCCGGGGATATAGCTATAATATCCCAAAATTTCACAGGCGATTGGATGTATGGTTTTTGAATCTATAGAGTACAGACAGACAGACAAACAGACAGACAGACATTATATTATATATATAAAGAGATAGATTGTGTATATAGAATGCGTGTAATACAGAATAAATTATTGTGTGAGTAGATGGTGTGGATGAGTTATGAGGTAGAATGGAGTAGGGGACGTTGAATGAGTTTTAATGCGTTTTAGTGTGATGAAGGATGATTTATTAATAATTAATTGTATTGAAGTATCAGAACCAACAAAAAGTCTCAAAGGATAAGTGTCTTTTTTTTTATTACCAACGCATCGAGCTTTCGGGTATAACGATCCTTCTAAAGAAAAATTCCTGCAGAAGGGTCGTTATACCCGAAAGATCGATGTGTTGGTATAAAAGAAGACACTTAAGAAGACACTTATCCTTGGAGACTTCTTGTTGATTCTGTTTGTGAAGAAAGGATTCTAACCTTTTTATCTTAAATATTTATTAAAGTGTGTGTGTGTGTAGGGAGATAAGTTATGAGATTTTGAAAATTTCAACATGGATGATCTTTTAAATATAGCGAGCTGTGACGTAGAAAGTATTTCAATATATAAAGAGATGTGATTATAAGGTGTACTATCTAGTAGGCTGAATTTTAAGGTATAAAGAGAAATGAATTAGGATGGGTTATATGATGTTGAATATAGGTTTTGGAAGTAAAAAGGGTAATGAAATTGTGATGAGTTGTGCTATGCTTTGAGTTTTGATATCAATATGATACGATAATATGAGCAGTAATATAAGATGTGGTATAGGGATGAATTGTAACAAGATGATGAGTATTAAGATAGAAGTTATGTGTATAGTATGTAGTAATATAGAATAATTTGTGATGTATATATATTGTTTGTGTAAAAGGGTTTATATTGAGCATAAGCTGTAACATACACTGGCCACGAAAACTGCATTATTTATAAACACCTCTGAAAATTTTCCAGAAATTTGAAAAATCAATTGTAACAAAAATATGAGTGTATGAAATAGCTTTGTTTTTCATGTGTTTAAGTAGCCTCTTGGTGAAAGTTAATTGAAATTATTTTGTTTATTTGTTTATAATCTCGAATTAATCTTTATTTTTTTAATGCAAAGGCAGAAAAAAGGGTGCATATAAGAAAATTTCTCAATTTACAAGAGGCAGAATCAAGGTCTTAGAGAAAGTTCATTTTTGTCTAGAGAAATATTTAGGAAAATAGACTGATATTAAAGACTGTTGTGAGGATTTCGTCATATCTTTAAAGGAAAAACTTAAAATTCCTGTCTCAGGTCGCTCGAGGGTAACAAAAGAGAGAGTAAAAAGAAGAATTCGAAGGATTGTTGTAGATAACAAGACAACAGCACTGTACCATTGATTCAAAAAGTTCTATATATGCAGAATGAATCTTGACGATTAATAACACCCTTAATAACTGTCTTATCGAAGCAGAATTCGATGTCGCCACCCTTTATTAAGAATTTCACACTCTGCCCGACAAAGAAGCGACAATTCAGCTGGCGTGAAGAAATATGTTCTTGGGGTAAAGAATGGATTCTGCCATTTTTCTTATGAATTTAAAGTCCTTGGTGTTCTAAATGATGATGTCAGGACAGGTACTGGTAGGGATGGCTAGCGTAAATCTAGCAGAGAGCCTAGTTGAAGAGGGCCTCCCCATTGGAGAAACTCTCCTGAAGACCTTCCCCTATAAGAAACGGGTGGAGAAGATAGTGATTGAGAATCTTCCAATCGCGGCACTGTGGCCTTACTACAGTGTGGTTTCCCTAAACCATGAGGTCGTGACCAGCGGCGGATACACCGGGAGTACCGGCTCAGGGAGGCCTTTGGCCTTCTAAATGAAGACCTAAAACTCCACCAGCTCCCTGACAAGCTGGTGGTTGTCTCCAAAGGAGAGTAGACCCCCGCCTACATCACCTACGGCATTGAGTCTAGCAAAATCCACCAAAAGGGACATCAGGGAGCCTTCTGCCACTTTAAAGCACATGTAAGTCGTCCTGCTCATCTTCAGGAAACACGGAGTGGACCGGCGTCTACGCCTCCATCTTCCCAGCCCACCCCCTTCACAAAATCTGCAGCGCTTACATCTTCTGTGAGGGGTAGATACTTCCAGCCCTGCTGCGCCTTCGCCTCGACGAATCCTTTCTTCCCTCTCCAGAAGAATCCATGAGCCTTCAGTATCGGCGCTTTCTCTACCAACGCCTTCCTCGACCACTGCTGTACCAACAGAGGCATATTCCAAAGATACTCATACTAAGAATGCACAAGCTATTCAATCCATCACACCAAATCTCCAAAAGAAACAGCCTCTTCAAACTATTTTATAACAGGTAGAGGATTTGTTCGGGAGCTTGAATGCTAAAATCATCCTGAAACCCATTTATAAAACTATTATAGAGAGGATATAAAATGCGTTGTTGTATCCCCCTCTAAGAGAGAGGATGTCCTCGCGTTTCTCTGCTCTGAAGGAATTCTTCAATATGGCAATAGCACGTGTCGGGGAGACGTCCTATCTATGTCTTTCCGACTTCAGGACGAAATGTGACATCAAACCAGACAACCCTTAGTGAGATTCGTCTTATGTAAATAATTTTTCATTTTCAATTGTCTTTATATAATCCTATATATATGTTAAGGATTAATAAATCGGTCAACTTAATCGCTATATATATATTTTTTTTTAATGAAAAACGCTTATTTAGGATCAAAATATTTATTATAACATACAATATTATGATATGGCTGTTCGCCTATCTTCCTCTGGGATTCTAACCTGTAAACAAATCATCCAGGTGATGATTTATAAAATCCATATGATATATCTATATATATATATGTGTGTGTGTGTAGTGGTAGGCAGGTTGCGCAGTCTTGGGGCCAAAGTAGTGTCAGGTGTCAATAAGTAACACAAAAGTACAGGTAGGTTGTATGTCACCTAGAATATAGACCAGCACCTAAAACGCTGATATGGTTCAGAATGGTGAAATCTACATGAGAGGCAGACAATAACTGTTGCTATAAGATTGTATTTGCCAGTCTGGGGGGAAGGGATAAAATAAACTAACGACTCTGTAATTGGAGGTCTTTGTCCTGTCTTGGCCCCGGCGGACCCTCAATCAAACTTATTATCCTGTTTTGTATTACATGATGACCAAACTGGCGAGTTAAATTGCATTAATTAGTGAAGTATGTATTAGTGAGCGGTGATGCAAAACTAATTATACAAACTTTATAACAAATATTTTCATCATAACTCACTAATTTCAAAATTTAATAATTTATATTAAATAGCCGAATGACCCGGGCAACGCCCGGGTTTACCCGATTAAATGTTTTTATTCAAATACTATTCGTTACAATTATAAATTGGAGCCGTGGATGTCACTCTTATGAAACGTCCCGCTCCAAACTTTACATATACATTAGGTCAGCTGGTATTTTCCCCCATTTTCACCGCTAGAGGCGCTAGCGAAAGAGCAAATTTGCAAATAACACGACGGATATTCGGAAGAGAGACCTGAAATTTTCACTAAGAGTTTTTCCAGATTCTACTTTATATACTGTTAAAATTTCAGTCAGATTAGTTACGTATTATGGACGTGTATAATTGACAAACATACATACCTACATACACACGCTGATTTTTATATATATAAAGATAATAATATAAATGAGTTTTTGAAATTGTAAAAAAAAAAAAAATGCATCGGCCGGGAAACGAACCCGGGCCGCCCGCGTTGCAGGCGAGCATTCTACCACTGAACCACCGATGTTTATAAGAAATGGCCCTATTTGGGTATTTATTCCATTCACAAAAGCAAACGATGACAGAATTGTTGATGACTCTGATACTTGTATTTATAATCATGTTAGCGTAATGAATTAGTCAGTATTCCCATGGTCTCCAGCGAAGAGGTGTGAATTGACTTTTTGAAAATATACATAATTATAAAAATAGAAGCCTCTATAGAAATAACTAAAATAAACCGAAATAGCTCAGTTGGGAGAGCGTTAGACTGAAGATCTAAAGGTCCCTGGTTCGATCCCGGGTTTCGGCATCTTTTTTAAATATTTACTTACCGTAACTTGACACGTGACCAAAATCTATCTGTGAACTTCACACAGTGAACTTCACACAGACAGAAATTAAATTGAAGTGCAATTAACAATTAATTAATTGTTAATTAGAAAAGTTCAATTAACAATTAATTAATTGTTAATTGTATGAATACAATTAACAATTAATTAATTGTTAATTGTTAATCTTTAATAAATAATTTTAATTAATATTTGCCCAACACTGCCTGAGATAAAAAGTGTTTTATTAAATACAACACACCTTTACCATCGTCAGCTGCAGTTGAACGCCTTTTTTCTTTTGCGACAATGAAAATCTGCCAAAGAGTCACAAATTGTCGGACAGCATGTTCGAGAAAGAGTGGTACTGAAATGCAGTGTTGGGCATTAAAAAATTATTTTTCAATTAAATTGAAGTGCAATTAACAATTAATTAATTGTTAATTAGAAAAGTGCAATTAACAATTAATTAATTGTTAATTGTATGAAATACAATTGACAATTAATTAATTGTTAATTGTAAAAATACAATTAACAATTGATTAATTGTTAATTGTGAAAATTACAATTAACAATTAATCAATTGTTAATCTTTAATAAATCATTTTAATTAATATTTGCCCAACACTGGTAGATACATAATTATAAAGATAGAAGCCTCTATAAAATAACTAAAAAAAAGAAATAGCTCAGTTGGGAGCGTTAGACTGAAGATCTAAAGGTCCCTGGTTCGATCCCGGGTTTCGGCATCTTTTTTTAATTTTAAATTTTTACTTACCGTAACTTGACACGTGACCAAAATCTATCCGTGAACTTCACACAGACAGAATAAGGCAATTATATAAGTAGATAGATAGTAGTTAATGATACTCTACAAAAAAAAATAATACAGAGTGAAATAAGTATTTTATGTTACTATATTGAACCCAATTTACAACTCATCCTATGTGTTAAAAAAGCATCTCTTGATCGTACAAATAAAAGTTACTGATTGGCTTTCTATTAGAGTCAAAATTATTCAACCTAATTAACCACATCTCTAATTATAAATCGCCCTATGTCACAATTCGAATACATTTTTATTACTAGGTCATAATTAATAATAATTTTAAACTAAAATTTCATCACAACACATTCGACATTACAACTCATCATATTTATAACTCTCATCCTCTACATTATAAAAACAATATACTAAATATAACAAATTTCCTATATTATGAACATTTGGTAAAAGGAATGAGAGTAAAGTAACATATAATTTAACTATTCGATGAAATAATCCTTTGAATCACTAATAAAATATACGGATTCCAGGTAAAATTCATTTTTTTTATATGTATTCACAAATCTCTATAGCTTTCGGGCTTGAAAGCCCTTCTACAGGAGAAAATATTTTACATTTATTCACCAATAGAATAAAGGTGTTTACAGTTATCTGATGGCAGAATCAACGCGGGCCTCCATTTTGCGTATTTATATAAGCACGCACAATGGATGCCCGCGTTGAAAAAAAAAATATTTAACTATTAATTTAGAGATAACCTATGTCAAGAGAAATCACTTAAACAACTCAAATTAAATATACATTATACATAGTACCGCTTTTTTCTAGCATTTTTAGACAAATTTTCCTTTAAAAACATAAATTGCATTTGAAAAGGGAAATAAAATTGTGTTTGCAATACACATTCTATATTTGTGTGTGGAATATTGTGCGCATTTATGATTTCCCAGGTGTTACTTTCTAAACAAAATGACATATGGCAAATAAATTGATTTCCTATTTTAGAATTTCGTTTTCATCAGATTGGAAAAAGCAATCAGCTCAATATATGTAGAAATACCATTAAGATGACCAACTTGGCATATCAATATGCAAGGCCTAAAATTGATTATAAAAACAGCAGCTGGGTTTTACCTTTAAAACTCTTTGTGATAAGGCAATATTTCATTTCTAGATGCACCTAACTCGTTGCGAGATAAAAATCTACTTTGCTCCTGTTGTACAGGAAGCTGTTTGATGACAGGTGAGTTAACCACTATCGATATATTTGTCTACTTCTTTTAACTATTTTCCCATAATTTTTGAACCTAATGAAGTCTGATAAAAAAAACTACTGAGCGTTTTCACCAATGATGATCCACTGCAATCTCAATATTTTTACTTCGCACAAAGGATAGTTGAATGTTATTCTATTTTTGAAAACAAAATAATTAAATGGTTTGAAAATTGTATATTTTGAATATTTAACATTAAAATTGTATTTTGTTTTATATTTTGATGCCGAAATATATTAGCTCGTTCAAAAGGTTATCGAAGTGAGGCAATAAATTTTATGGATTTTAATAAAATAATATTGACCCGTGACTCGTTGCTACACAATGACATCATTATTGAGACATTCTATGCGAAATCACGCCGGTAAATAGTTTTTAAAGAGGTAACTTAGTGATTTAGTGATATATCAATGGATCTGAAATCTACCTTTGTTTGGTCTTCTTGATTTGCGAAAGATAGAACCTCAGTTGCGTACGATACTCATAAAAGGGTGGTCTAAACTGTTACGACCTGGGATCGAATCCCTCATTGGGCACTTTTTCTAATTAAAAAAAATGCTCCAATGGCTCCCGATTCTTGCAAAAGTCCAACCCCACCAGCGAGTGCAAGAAACCAAACTAGGCTCTGGCACATTTGTAAGTGCAAAGGTCGAGCTGCTTTTCATATGTGTAGGTGCACTTACAGTAAAAGCAGTCGCCAACTTCTACCCACCATGATTATCATGGCCTGCACCACGTGTATAAGGGATAATAGTAATTAATAATAATTGTATATATTATAAACAAATAGTTATTTTAATCCTAAACACAGATTTAATAGATGATGGTAACCATTGTGGACAGTGACTGTTTTAACTATTAATGAAACAAATTTTTACCTAATTGCATATATATAATTTGAGCGTCGAATTTTTGAAATAAAATAATTGAAAATTAGAGCACTATTATTATAAATTTACTAGACGAATGGCCCGGCAAAGCCCGGGTTTTACCCGAGTGCGTATATATTTTTAAAACGTTTTAATTCAAAAACTATTCGTTACAATTATAAATTGGCGCCATGGATGTCACACTTGTGAAACGTCCCGTTCCAAACTGTGTGTTTTTAAAATGTTTAATTAAAAACTATTCGTTACAATTAAAATTGGCGCCGTGGATGTCTCTCTTGTGAAACGTCCCGCGCCAAACTGTGTGTGTCTTGAAAATATAAAATAAATAAAATGTGAATTTTCATAAAGATTTCATCATGTCGATTTTTTTTTTGCATTTAT